GTCCGATACCGGTCTGATACCGGTCCGGTCCAATGCTGGTCTGGTACCGGTCCGATACCGGTCCGGTCTGATACCGGTCCGGTCCGATACCGGTCTGATACCGGTCCGGTCTGATACCGGTCTGGTCCAATGCTGGTCTGATACCGGTCCGATACCGGTCCGGTCTGATACCGGTCCGGTCTGATACCGTCGGATACCGGTCCGATACCAGTCCGGTCTGAAACCGGTCTGATACCGGTCTGGTCCAATGCTGGTCTGATACCGGTCCGATACCGGTCCGGTCTGATACCGGTCCGGTCTGATACCGTCGGATACCGGTCCGATACCAGTCCGGTCTGAAACCNAACCGGGTCAAATGGGTCATCCGGTTCTGTCTCTTCCCACAGGTCCAGTCAGACAGACAGACAGACAGCAACAACCGGGTCAGAAGAGGAGTAGGAAGAGGAAACCATGCCTTTGTGAGCCATCAGGGTCAGAGTGGCGGTTACCATGGCAACAGGCCTCAGAGCAAGTCAACTGATTGGTCCAGGGGCTCAGCGGATCCTCCAATGAGGAGGGTCATCCAGTCTAATACCGTCAGATACCGGTCCGGACTGAAACCGGTCTGGTACCGGTCTGATACCGGTCCGGTCTGAAACCGGTCCGGTCAGATACCGTCGGATACCGGTCCGATACCAGTCAGGTCTGAAACCGGTCTGATACCGGTCCGGTACCGGTCCGGTACCGGTCTGATACTGGTCCGGTCCGATGCTGGTCTGATACTGGTGTGATACCGGTCCGGTTTGATACCGGTCCGGTACCGGTCCCGATACCAGTCCGGTACCGGTCCCGATACCGGTCCCGATACCGGTCTGATACCGGTCCGGTCCGATACTGGTCTGATACCGGTCCGGTCCGATGCTGGTCTGATACCGGTGTGATACCGGTCCGGTCTGGTACCGGCCTGATACCGGTCCGGTCTGAAACCGGTCCGGTCAGATACCGTCAGATACCGGTCCGATACCAGTCCGGTCTGAAACCGGTCTGATACCGGTCTGGTCCAATGCTGGTCTGATACCGGTCCGATACCGGTCCGGTCCGATACCGGTCTGATACCGGTCCGATACCGGTCCGGTCTGATACCGGTCCGGTCCGATACCGGTCTGATACCGGTCCGATACCGGTCCGGTCTGATACC